TTCACATTGTATGTTTTTCCTGATGTTAATGTCTCGAATTACTTACATTCCTAATACGGCCCTTTTTCCATTCTTGTGATCGTCTACCTGTAGACTAGGTCCCAGAATGATAATTCTACTAATGCCTTGACCTGAATGCGCAGACGAATTCCTCTGAAAACCATGGAAATTCTGCCAATCGCTGTCGTGCCGTTTCTGCAAAATGCGCAGGAAATCTGCTATTTTCTCAAAGAGGACCACTGGCTTTCGGGGAAATTTTGAGTCAGTAGAATTTCCAGTAAAGTACGCGTATTTCACCGAAATTCACATTGTATGTTTTTCCTGATGCAGCCTCAATGACGACAGCAAGGGTGACGTCGTCTAGCCAGAAAGCTTCGCCGCCATTGGGCAGAGGAAAGGATAGAGGTTCTTGGCCGGAATCAAGAGCGACCACAACGAGAGAGTGGGCGGTCCTGTGAGGCGTGAGTGGCAGATTAGGATACGTCGAGCGGAGATCAGATGATGAAGCAGCGATAGGGGCTTCAAACCGAGTTTGCTCACTTTCTGTCCCCGAAGGTGTACTTGCTAATCGGAACTATGACAAGATCTCCAGATGGGTTGGCGAGAGCACCACCAGCCCGAGGAAGCTCGAGCGCGTCCTGGGGAGTGAGGACATTTGCACCCTCCTTCAGTACAAAATCCTGGGCTGTCATGGGCGTCACTGTGAGTAGGGCTTAGTATACTAGTCGCAAGCCTCTAGTAAGTTGAACTACGAGGGACTCGGACAAGGCGATAGCTTGTGGATGGCTCCATCTTTTTTCATACGCGTATATGACTAAAGGAACGCTCGCGGTCAGTCGGCTCGGTGTTTTGTGGGACCCCATTTTACAAGTCGCTCAGTATAGATCCTCCGCGACCAAGGGGAGTGTCGCAGTTAGAGTGAAGACGCGCGAATGCTTTATTTAAAGTCAGTGCCTCCGGCCTCCGGTCCCGAGCCCCAACGAAGGCGCGCTTTTTCAGGAATTTATTATTTCTTCATGCTAGTTTTCAAGCTCTGCTTTATCAGGCCATATCTGAGCATTTTTTCCTTGGAGATGTGACTCCGTAAAATTTCAAACCAAAGTCGCCAACTTGAAACCGGCATGACCAAATAGGACTACTTCAAACGCCAGTAGTAGGTCACATTGAATTTGAGCACGAACTTCGGAACAGCCAAAACCGTGCTTGGCTAGGAACGACTATCTTCCGTATGCCCGTCTCCTGAGAAAAATAATGTGTCGTTGACTCATGACGCACGCACAGTTATGTCGAGATGATGCGTGACGCTGCTGAGAAGTTCAATACGAGCGTGTATGAACCACCGCCCGAATCTGCGTCAAATGCGCCAATACTCAACCTCAACCTGGGAGGTGTGAACGTCAGCTTGGGTGGCCCGGCCGGATCGGGTGTGTATAGAAGTAGCTCAGACAATGTCGGGGTGCAGGCAGATGGGATCAGGGACGGTGTGCGGAACTTCATCGGGATTGTCAAGCAAGGGGTCGACAAGATGGGAATGCAATAGTGTAGCATGCTGGTATGGTAGTACTGCCCAATCAGGGAGTTGATCTGGTGTGAAGACGCGCAAATGCATATTAAAGTCGCCTCCAGTCCCGACTCCCTAGCCTCAGTGAAGCACGTTCTTTTAAAAAACTCTCAAATGCTTGAGTGCAAAGATTTCTCGAATTTCAAGAACTTATAAGAAGATCGGACAGAGATTTCCTTGACTTACTTTAAAGTTGTTTAATACCATTAATAAGTGCCATCTATACACAGTTCACGACATCACTTCTTATTACTGTCACTGATTTATAATTGAGACAATAGCTTCTAGCCGCGGTCGCCTCTGCAGATGACTGTGAGCACATTCGACATATTTTGAAGTGCCATGTTAGAAGCATTGGTATTCAGCTGGTAGACGTTAGACCAGTTTAGCTTCGGCCCTGTAGGAAATCGCTGCACATATTGCCCCGTCATCGGCTCTTGGAGTAAAGGTGGAATACCTTACTCATCGGCAAGTGACTCGGACACTTTGGGCAGGTTGTGAGCCACGAGTATCTTCATTTCATCGCCCTCCTCGTCAACTTCTTCTTCTTATTCGATTTTGAGCTCCTCATCGGTGAGTCGAAGAAGAGCCTTGGGGGAAGTGCCATTTAACATGCTTCTGAGCTCTGCACATGTGGCTTTTGTCCACATCCAGAAAGGACCAGACATCGCGAAGAGGATGATGGCATGATCTCGGACTCCAGGTCTATCAACTGCAAGAATGGCTTGTCGCTCCACTTGACATGTTGCAGCTTCCAGGTATTTATGTAGAGTCTTCTAAGGTGGACTGTCACAGTGGATGTCCTCTGCAAGGTCCATGCGCCTGATGCAGCGCTTGAGCTCAGCGCAAAGGACACACTTGTAATCACTGTGGGTCATGTTGACGGATGTAGCTCTGCCTACGTTACGGCGACCGCGCAGTCCACTCAAATAATGTATGATGGAGAGATCGGGGAAAAGGGTGCCTGGGTGTCCAAAAGCCGATATGCTTTGGTCAGCATCCTGACTAAGGTTATTGAGCGAAGCTGGTACCAGAGGCTGTTCCTGCAGGACTGCTAAGCAGGGCAACGGGCGTTGGCTGCTTCTGAATGCATCCTTGACCCGACCTATCACTCCCTGAGCTACCGAGTCACAAACAGGCTTCCAAAGGCACTCCAGGTTGCGAATGTTGGTCTCAACGCCTAAAGCCCAAAGGAAATGGTTCGAGAACCCCTCTTCGGTATGTGGTGAGAAGAACTAGACAGCACACGGATTATGTCAGTGGTCTTGTACGAGGTTTCTGTACTCTGAATAACATACTGATGGGGGTGTAGGTGGGGTAATAGCCTGGCTAGCGATGAGAGACGATGTTACGGGACCTTGAGACATGTTGAAAGAGAGAGAGAAAGGTCCGAACTGGGTTGAGGGGATAGACTAATCTTGATCTATGCATGAAGCCCTGAATTAAATTCCCTTGAATACTCGTTGAAGGGTAACCGTCAACATACAAGTAAAAACTAAGTTGCTGCAACATTGATGTTGCGAGTAGAAAAGTTCTAATATTAATCATGCTCATCATGTTGAAAGTACGAGTGGTACTTCACCCTTTTACGACTTCTATTGGTGTATACCAGGGAGTCTCCATCACTTAGGCGATGTTCCTCTATGAGGTTTACAAGTAAACACCGCCATTCCGTTCTATATCGGCGCTCAACGTGTGTATACACTTAAGCGCCTCTTACGTACTCATGACTCGTCATGGCCCGCTGCTGTCGCACCAGGCCATGTGGACTTGTAGCTAGACGTCCATGCTATGCGTGGTTTAGGGCTGGCTCGTTACGAATACGGTAGTAGATTCACACGCTCCATGTATACTATATATACGAGTCGCTACCATGAATACATTCCTTAGTCTCTTCTACTCAAATGACTACCATC